CTCTAAAATATCAGCAAAGTAGCTGGGAACAACAATGGGTGGAATCCTGTGGCTCAGGAATTCGTATGCCAGAGCCCTGCCTGTGCCTCATGCTTTGTCAGGACCTCCTTCTCTGTGCAAAACAAGGGACTAGTGGAATTTTTTTGCCGAAGTGCTCCAAAGAGAAGCAAATGTTGTGCTAGGTTTCTCAGGAGTGTATCCGTTAAGTTCATTGTTGGCAAAGAGAAAGTAAGGCCAGGGTAGCAGAGCAGCTGGGAGCTGGTCACTCCATGCAAAGCGCTGGTGTAGGATGTGGGAACACCAGGTTCCAGGACAGGCAAGCAGGGTCAATGTGCTCAAGGTGCTGCCAATGAGGTTTGGGTTCACTTAGAGAGTAGTCAGGGCTGGTGAGTACTGCAAGATCCAGCTGCAGTCCCCATCCATGTCCCCTTCAGTGATGGCTTTAGGGTGTCTGTAGCCTGGATCCAGAGCGCCCTGGGGGCTCCTGAGGCTGCCTTTGCACTCAGGGTGAGGATGCCCAGGAGCCGCTGTGGCCGGCAGTGGGGACCAGGGCTGGGGCTTGTGGCCTGACAGGTGTGGCTCTGGGGGCTGTGACATGCCAGGGCATGGGTCACTGTCACTGCCCTCCGCAGCCCTGGCTAGCTCTGTGATGCTCCAGGGACAATGGCAAGAGTGGGGATCTGGCTAGGTTAGGGTTTTGCCTGAGCCAGAACCTCTAGGCCAAATGCCGAGCAGTAGAGACCCCTGGAGGGCCGAGTGAACGAAGCAGAGGAGGCTCTTCTGCGGCATAAAGTGCAGCAAATTCATCAGGAGAGGCGGGGGGAAGTGTCCCCCTGAAGCTCATCCCAGAGAGCAGAAGCCAGCAGGGATCCTGAGCCAGCTCTGCTGCCTTTGGCAGCACTTTGGCAAATGAGCTGCAGCAAGGGGGAGGCAGCAGCGACTGTGACTGCTGCAGGCTGGGGATGAAGGAAGGGCCATGGACACAAGTGCTGAGATGCCCCAAAATCCAGAGGGAGGCTGGAGAGCTGGGAATCAACTTGGCATTTCAGTGCCAAGCTCTCACAGGCACTGAAATGATGAAATCCCTTTGTGTGAAGTGACCTTTAAGAACTGACAGGGAGTTGCTGCTCGGATCAGCAGTAGCAGAAACTAAAATGTACAAACACTAGGAGATCATCTAATAGCCCCCACAAGCAATGGCTTCAAAAATGATCTCATGTATATATTATATTATATTACATTATATTATGTTATGTTAAATTATTATTATATTAATCAAAATATATAATATATAATATGCATGAAATTTAATGCACATGTATTTTAGGACAATTTCATTTTTTGATATATATTTTCATTTAAGATATATATTTGAAATAGTCTTTCAGCCTGGGAGAGTGAAGATTTACAACAGTGCAAAACCATCTGCCCACAGAGCAGTCAGCCCCCGGGTGCGTGCATGCACACCCACCCACTGTGCCTGCTCTTCTCAGCATCTCGGGGCTGCTGTTTGCACAGAATTGGGATGAATTTAACTCAACAGAGCCACGAGTGGGGTGTCCAGCTTGTCATGAACACTCATGTGGCAACGAACAACACAGAGCTCTCAAATCCCATTATCACAGGTCATTTCATTCCTGCTGGGCACTGAGGAACTCTTAAAAGACACAGAAAAGGGGTGGAAAACATTGGCATCATGCTACTGCTGGTGTCCTCCTGGAGGAAAATCTGTTGGGTTTCTTAAGGTGGTAGCTTTCCAAAACCTAAGAAAACAGCTCAGTAGTGGAAGCCCAATTGTGAATGGTTTTCTTGGCAAAGCTGGGGTGCTAACAATGGACTCTGTCCTTGGTCCAAATCACCTGCCCTCACCTGCAGACAAAAGCACCACCACCAGCAGCAGCTACATCAGTCCATTTTCTCAAAAAGCTGTGTTAAATTTGGGAGAGGAAAGGAAAACACATCAGACACTGTGGATTAATGACAAGACTCTGAGGGACAGTTCCAAAGCAGAGGGCAGCAGCTTCTCTCTGGGGCACTCCTTGTGCCCCAAGGCAGCCGGGCTGCCCTGGCTGCCCAGGACCCTGCGCCCCGCGGGCTCTGCAGAGCTGCACAGCGGGGAGGCAGCTTCGGGCACCTCAGCCCCTGGGCAGGAGGGGCTGCTTGCTCTGCAGGGCTGCCTGTGGGCAAAAGCAGGGTGCTGGCCTTCTGCTCTTGGCCCCAGCCTGGCCTTGCAGGGCTAATCCTGTTCCCTGTCTCAGATGTGCTAAGGACAGACTTGTTTGTTTCCAGCTGTGCACAGGTGTGATTTGCACCACAAAATACTGAAGGACTAAGGCCTTAACAACAGACCCTGACTGAAGCCTCAACTACAGGACCTGAGCCAAAGCTGCTCTCTAGGTGACCTTCCCAACCCAATGTTCTATGTATCTGCTCCTTAACCAAGTGTTATTATCAAAAGGATTGTTGCATCCATTCACTGGTGAAACACGTCTTCACCTTTCTGCATGAGGAAAATGGACAAGGCCACACCTGGCCTTGGTTCCTCCTTGAGCCCTGGCCAGGCCTGGGGAGAAAACCAAGAGGAGAATGACACCAGCTGTGCCCCCAGCAGAAGCTCTGGCACGTTGCTCGTCCAGCACTGTCAGAGCCGGGCCACTCTCACAGCGCACTCGGGAGCCTCGTGGCCGCCAAAGGTGGAGGCACCGCAGGATTTCCCGGTTCCCGGCCGTGGCTCTGCAGGGCTGGGCTGGGACAGCTTCCCCCAGCTGATGTGCAGCTCTGGATGAAGGGGAAACCATTGGGCTACCTGGTGACGGATCTTCCTTAGTCACCAGAGGCACCCTTTTGTAATAATGCTGAGGTGCATTGCTTAGCTTATCCTTTCCTGACTGTTTTTTGCACTTTTGCACTACAGTAAATCACACTGTTCCTTCAGCTGGTGTCTGTGTCTGCATCTCTGACCCTCCCCACCACCAAAACAAACACACAGCCAGTTTAGCACGAGACCTGCCTCTCTGCCAGCCCATCTCTTGGCAAACACTCCTGATGGCCATCTGCACAAATGAAATTCCCACTTTGCAACTTCCTTTTCTGCAGGCAGGTGAGAAATGAGCCACTCCCAGCTCTGGACACCTCCAGAAACAGCTGCTTTCAGCAGTCACAACCCTGAAATATCAACCTCCTTCCTTAACCTACCATTGGGAGCTCCCACCAAGAGGCCTTTTGTCCAAGGATACCCACAGAAGAGCTGGAGAAGGGAGCAGTTTGAAACACAACTGCTTCAGAGTTTACACCTGCCTTTATCAAATGAGCACACACCAACCTGTCCCAAAGGGAAAGCAGGCAGCAAAGAGAAGCTCCTCTCCCACAACAGCAAACTCCGTGCTTCCTTCTGTTCCAGCTGGAGAGTGGAGGCCATGGGCTGCACCTCACTTTGGGAGGGAGCCCTGGGAATTGGCCTGGTCTGGGAGGGCAGCAAAAGGAATTCCATAAAAAGTAGGAAAAGATTCTGTGGAAGCATTAGGTTATGACAATATTTCTGGAGGAAAGCAAAAAAAAAAAAAAAAAAAGAGTAATTGAAGTATTTCAAAAAGTTCCCAGACCGAAATTTGTTTGCCAATACGACAACCCCAAAGTCTCTGTGGTGTGTCAGGAAGCTCAGGAATGCAGAGAGCATTTTCAGCAGACACAGGAGAGAAGCAAGCTGCACAACCCTGCATACGTGCCTTAGAGCAGAAACATGCTGCCCTTGGGAAAACAATATAAAGAAGTTTGCCAGGATGTACCCCAGGAAAAGAGATGTGAAGCAAGTTCTTCTAAGGATGTGAAGGGAAGATATGGGGCAGAATGTTCTGCTGACGCTTTTGCCAATCTATGTATGTGACCAAAGATATGTTAGCTCTTTGTCCTATACACAACACTTTGTAACCACTTCTATGTATTCTCCCGTTTCTGAGCCCTGCATTACCATATAAATGTGCCCTGAGATTTGCAATAAACTGAGCATCGATCATTACCTCCATGAAGATTGATCTCTGCCTGCGGAGGGCTCCTTTCTCTATTACCCCTCTCCTTTTCCCCGTCTCTCTCCCGTACACCTTGTTTCTCTACCTGGCATCCGTATATTTTCTTTCTTTACAGGAATGAACCTGCAAGGCTTGCATAAATATCGCTGGTGTCCGTCCCCCAGAGCACAAGCAGCTCCCCAAGACTTCAAGACTAAGGGACAAAGCTTCCCCCTCAGCTCTCCACAGCAGCTCTAGGGAGTCTCTCCCCACTGCAAGATCTCCTTTGTCAGTCTACAGTGACAAGAGTTGGCTGCAGGAGGCATTTGCATTGGAGCTCTCCCCCGATGGGGGGAAGAAAAAGCAGAGGTGATTCCTGTGGAAATAAAAAGGCAACGCCATTTGGGAAGACACCAGCATGCGTTTGCTACAGCTCTAGGCCAAAAATCCCTTGAAGAAAGCAACATCCATCCATGGGGCAGCACTTTGGCTTTGATATCAAGGCTCACAAAATTGCTTCCCATTCCTGCTGCTGTAGCTGACTCCAATTCACGAAAAATGTGCCAACTCTGCCAAAGACAGGCAGACATGGTGAGATAAAACCAGCTAGTCTGCTGAAATGGAGACCAAATGAATGTTTTCTAATCACCTCTTTTTATCCCTTCCCCAGCCAAAACAGAGCAATGGCCTTCCTCTGTGTCCCCGATGGTGACCCAGGCACGGCATGCAGCGTGGGGATAACTGCTGTGCCGAGCCGTGCTGTGCCGTGCCGAGCTGAGCCGAGCCGAGCCGAGCCGAGCCGAGCCCGGCCAGCCCCGGGGCCCGCGCTGTGCCCGCAGCTCCGGCTCTGCCGCGCGCGTCCCCGCCAAGTCCGGCCCGCGCCGGGGGGCGCTGGGCGCGCGGGCCCGAGCGCAGCGCCCCCCTCAGGCCGCGCGCCGCCGGCGCAGCCGCGGCCGTTGCGCGCGGGCGTTGTGGCCGCAGTCGGCGATCGATGCCATGGCGGAGCTGCCGCTGCCCGCCGGGCTCCGCGCCCGCGCCTTCCCCGCCAAGCTCTGGCGCCTGGTGAACAGCCCCCGCGTCCGCTCCGTGCGCTGGGACAGCCGCGCCCAGGGGCTGCTCATCGACCGCTGCTCATCGACTTGGAGCGGGAGCTGCTCAGCTCGGGCCGCGCCCACGGGGGCCGTGGCCATGGGCCGGCCCCGGTGCCGCACACCTTCAGGGCCACGCAGTTCCGCAGCTTCGTGCGGCAGCTCTACCGCTACGGCTTCCGCAAGGTGCCGGGCTGGCTCGGCTCGGCTGCGCCGGGCGATGCCGGGGCCTGGCTCCACTACAGCAACCCCTGCTTTCGCCGCGACCGCCCCGACCTCCTGCTCCGCATCAAGCGCCGGAGCGCGGCCAACAGGCAGCGGCCGGCGGCGGGCCGGGATGGCCGCAGGCGCCCGCCCCGCTGCTCCCGGCAGCTCCCCGGGGCGCGGCCGCTGCCGGACGGGCGGCACGGGCGCGCTCGCTTCACGCCGCTGCCCAGGGAGCGGCCGCTGCTCGCCCGGCGCCCGCCCAGCGGCTTCCTCCTGCTGCACAGGGAGCGGCCGCTGCTCGCCCGGCGCCCGCCCTGCGGCTTCCACCTTCTGCACAGGGAGCGGCCGCTGCCGGCCCGGCGGGAGGGGCCGAGCCGCTTCCAGGAGCTCTACGGGGAGCGGCCGCCGCCCGCCGAGCGGGAGGTGCTCGGCATCCCGCCCTGCCACTTGCTCGGGCTCCACGGGGAGCGGCCGCTGCCGCTCGGGCGGGAGGGGCCCCGCAGCCGCTCGCAGGAGCTCTGCGGGGAGCGGCTGCCTCTGCTCCAGCTGCAGCAGATGTGGGCTGTGCCTCTTTTGGGTGGGAAGGCCAAGGCAAAGCAAGGGCTGGGCTGCAGCTGCTGCTGCTGGGTGAGCCCTGCCGAGCGTGTGGGCGCTCCCAGAGCCGTGGCTGGGGCTGGGCTGCGGCTGCAGCTCTCTGTCCTTTGCAGATTATTACACCGTTGGCCAAAGAATGTCTCTCTTTCTGTTGATGTGCTGGCCCATTGCCTGCAGTACATTTGTGATTATGACTCAAGGGGGAGAGTGGGATTTTTTGGATTTGCCAACACCTTATTCTCAAGTGGCATGACTTTCGTCTTCTGTAAAGTCACACATAGCAGTTTAGCGAAGCATTTTATTCCACAATAAAAGGAAACATTGCAGGCTTGGAACCCTCTTTAGAATCTTTAGGGTTGTGATGGACGGGCTATGGCAGAAGAGATGAATATTCTGGAACTGGTCATAGGGAGAATATCTTTGTGTCCAAAGGTAATTGGCTTCATTGTGGACGTTTGCTTCCTCAGTATAGGAATAGAAACACTACTTGGTTGTCTGGCTTTTCCTGTCTTTTGGGTTGGTTTTTTTCCCTACCCTGACGATTTACAGCTCTTTGCCACTGATCCCAGATGTGATCCTGGCAATAGCCTGGGTGCATCAGTGTTTGCCTGGGTGCCACAGGCGGGGCAGCAGCAGAGGGCTCCGAGAGGCAGCACCTTGTGATGGGTGGTGTGAGCGCTTGGCTGGGGGTGCTGAGACTGCCAGGCAGAAACGCGTGCTTGGCCTGTGGGTTTGCAGCACACAGCCCTGGGCAGGGCTGGCAGCCGTGCTGGCAGCAAGGAGAGCCCCTGGCTTTGTGCTGGCTGATTTCTCACCGCTCTGGGATAAGGCAGGGTCAGAGCGTGGGGGCACGTCCCCTCGCTCGGTGCCTTCTGGTTCTCTGTGTTCGTGTTTTGTCTCAAAGGTCATTTTGTGAGAGCTTCAGTTTCGCCAGTCTCCCCTCCCGGCCGTTCCCACCCAATTCCATCCCAATCACCCCTAAAATCCCCAAATTAATTCAAATTCATTCCATTTAACTCCGCACCCACCAAAAAAATCACCAAAATCCCAACCCAAAAAAATCCCAAATATTTCAATTCTCAATTTTGGCGGTGCAGAACTTTGAGAAAACCAAAAAAAACCCCCAAAAAATCCAAAAAACCCAAAAAAAACCCCCAAAAAACTCCAAAAAGCCCAAAAAAAGTCAACCCCCCCCCCCAAAAAACCCCAAAAAACCCCCAAAACCCCCCAAAAAACCCCCAAAACCCCCCAAAAAATCTCCAAAAAACCCCCAAAAACCCCAAAAAAAACCGCCAGAAAAACCCCCAAAAAACAAAAAAAACCAAAAAAACCCTAAAAACCCCCCCAAAAAACCTCAAAAAAAACCCCAAAAAACTCAAAAAAACCCCCAAAAAACCAAAAAAACACCAAAAGAAACCCCAAAAAAACACCAAAAAAAACCCCAAAAAACCAAGAAAAACCCCCAAAAAACCAAAAAACATCAAAAAGACCCTAAAAAACCTGTAAAAAAACCCCAAAAAAACCCGAAAAAACAAAAAAAAAACCAAAAAACCCCGAAAAAACCCAAAAAATCCCCCCAAAAAACCCAAAAAAGCCCTCAAAAAACCTCCCCCAAAATCTCCAAAAAACCCCCAAAAAACCCGAAAAAACCCCAAAACCCCCCCCAAAAATTCCAAAAAACCAAAAAAAACCCCTGAAAAAAACCCAAAAAACCTCAAAAAAACTCCAAAGAAACTCCAAAAAACCCCAAAAAAAGTCCAAAAAGCCCCCAAAAACCCCAAAACCCCCCCCAAAAAACCCAAAAAACCCCAAAAAACTCCAAAAAACCCCGAAAAAAACCCCAAAAAACCCCCCAAAAACCAAAAAAAACCTCGAAACCCCCCCAAAAAAACCCAAAAAACCCCCCAAAAAACAAAAAAAAAACCCGAAAAACATGCCCAAAAAAACCCCCAAAAACCCCCAAAAACAGCCAAAGAAACCCCAAAAAACCCCAAAAAAACGCTAAAAAAACCCGAAAAATCCTCAAAAAAAACCCCCAAAACCCCCCCAAAAAAACTCAAAAAAAAACCCCCAAAACCCCCCAAAAAACCCTCACAAAACCCCCAAAAACCCCCAAAAAAACCTCAAAAAACCCCCCCCAAAACCCCCAAAAAAACTCAAAAAAACCCCCCCAAAACCCCCCAAAAAACCCCCCCAAACCCCCAAAAAAACCCCCCAAAAAACCCCCCCAAAAAACCAAAGATCCTCGAAAAAAAACCCAAAAAAACCCCCCAAAAAAACCCCGAAAAAAACCCCAAAAACCCCAAAAAACCGCGAAAAAACCCCGAAAAAAACCCAAAAAAACCCCAAAAACACCCCCAAAAAAACAAAAAAACCGCCGAAAACAGCCAAAAAAACCCCAAAAAACTCCAAAAAATCTCTTAAAAAACTCGAAAAACCACCCAAAAAATCCCAAAAAACCCCCCAAACCCCCAAAAAAAAACCCCAAAAACCCCCCAAAAACACTCAAAAAAACCCCTAAAAACCCCAAAAAAACCCCCAAAAACCCCAAAAAACTCCAAAAAAATTCCAAAACACGCCCAAAAAACCTCAAGAAACCCCCAAAACCCAAAAATTCCCCAAAAAACCCCCAAAAAACCTCAAAAAAGCCTCCAAAACACCCCTAAAAACCCCAAAAAACCCCAAAAAACCCCCAAAAAACCGCCCAAAACCCAAAAAAACCCCCAAAAAACCTCAAAAAACCCCCCTAAAAACCCCAAAACCCCAAAAAAACCCCAAAAAACCTCAAAAAACGCCCAAAAAAACCCCGCAAAACCCCCCAAAACCTCAAAAAAACCCAAAAAAACCTCAAAAAAAACCCCAAAAAACCACCCAAAAAACCCCAAAAAAACCTCAAAAAACCCCCCAAAAAACTCAAAAAAAACCCCAAAAACCCCCCCAAAAAACCCAGAAAACCCAAAAAAACCTCAAAAAACCCCCAAAAAACCCCCCAAAAACCCCCCAAAACCCCCCAACCCCCCCCCCAAAAACCTTAAAAAACTCCAAAACCCCCCAAACCCCCCCAACCCCCCTAAACAACGGCAAAGCAGCGCGAGCGCCCCCGCTGCCCCAGCGGCGTTTCCCCGGGCCGAGCCCCGGGCCCGCGGCAGGGCCGGAGCTCGCGGCCCGCTCTCGTTCTTTGCGCCGCTGCTCGGCTCCGAGGACGCCGACGTGAGGGGGAAAGGCCGAAACGGCGCGGGAAAATCATCAAAAATGGGGAAAAATAGAAAAAAGCAAAATAAAAGTGGGAAGGACAAAAAAAACCTCCCCAAAAAATCCCACCCAAAATACTAAAAAATCCAGAAACACCCCCCCCAAAAAACTCCAAAAAATCCCACAAAAAATCCTGAAAAATCCAGGAAAAGCCCCAGCAAAGCCCTTTTGGGGTGCTGTATCTCAATGTTGGGGTGCCATCGTTCAGTGTTGGGGTGCTGTGGATGACTTTGGGGTGCCATTACAGATTTTGGGGTGCTGTGAATATTTTTGGGGTGCCATAACTCCATTTTAGGGTGCTGTGGATGGTGTTGGGGTGCTGTAGAGGATTTTGGGGTGCGGGGGATGATTTTGGGGTGCCCTAACCCGATTTTGGAGTGCCATTCCGCAGCTCTCAGTGCTGGAGCGCGGCCCCATTTTGGGGTGCAGAACTCAATGTTGGGGTGCCAGAACTCACGTTTAGGGTGCCATTGATAACTTTGGGGTGCCATTGATGATTTTGGGGCGCTGTAAATGATTTTGCGGTGCCATTGATGATTTTGGGGAGCCCTATCCCGTTTTCGGGGGGCCGTTCTCCCCGCTCTCCTTGGTGGAGCACGACCCCACTTTGGGGTGCCATAACTCAGTTTTGGGGTGCCATAACTGCATTTTAGGGTGCCGTAGATAACTTTGGGGTGCTGTGGATAATTTTGGGGTACCATAAGTCGTTTTTGGGGTGCCCTAGCCGGTTTTTGGGGTTCCCCAGCTGTCGGTGGTGGAGTACGACCCCGGCACCCACGACCTCAAGACTCTGTCCCTGCACTACTTCGAGGAGCCGGAGCTCAGGGTGAGCCCAGAACCCCAAATTTACCCCAAAAACCCCAAATTTACCCCAAAAATGGATTTGGGGGTTCCCTCAGAGCTCAGGGTGAGCCCGGGACCCCAAATTTACCCCAAAAATGGATTTGGGGATTCCCCAGGCTCTGGGGTCCCTCCCACAACCCCAAAATCCCTCATTTCCCCCCAAAATGGATTTTGGGGTTCCCCCAGATCCCGGAGTTCTTCCAGACCCCCCAAATCCCTGAATTTTTCACCAAGAATGGATTTTGGGGTTCTCTTAAATCCCAGGGTTATCCCAGAACCCCCAAATCCCCACATTTTACCCCCAAATCCCCACATTTTACCCCAAAAATGGATTTTGGGGTTCCCTAAATCCCAGGGTTATCACAGAACCCCAAAATCCCTGATTTTCCCCCCAAAATGGATTTTGGGGTTCCCTGGCTCTGGGGTCTCTCCTACAACCCCAAATTCCCCATTTTCACCCATAAATGGATTTTGGGGTTCCCTCAAATCCCAGAGTTCTTCCAGAACCCCAGAATCCCTGAGATTCACCCAAAAATGGATTTTGGGGTTTCCTTAAACTCCAGGGTTATCCCAGAACCCCAAAATCCCTGAATTTTACCCCAAATGGATTTTGGGGTTCCCTAAATCCCAGGGTTTTCCCAGAACCCCAAAAATCCCTGAATTTTACCCCAAACCCCTGAATTTTACCCCCAAAATCCCCAAATTTTCCCCAAAAATGGATTTCGGGGTTCCCTAAAATGTCAGAGTCATCCCACACATCCCCAAATCCCAGAATTTGCCCCCAAAATGCCGGAATTTTCCCCCCAAAATCCTGGAATTTTACTCCAAAACCTCCCACATTTTACCCCAAAATCCCCAAATTTTGCCCCAAAAATGGATTTTGGGGTTCCCCCAGATCCCAGAGTTCTTCCAGAACCCCAAAATCCCTGAATTTTCCCCCAAAATCCCTGAATTTTACCCCCTAAACCCCCGAATTTTCCTCCAAAATGGATTTTGGGGTTTCCTTAAATCCCAGGGTCATCCCAGAATCCCAAAATCCCTGAATTTTACCCCAAATCCCTGAATTTTACCCCCAAAATCCCTGAATTTCCCCCCCCAGAATTTATTTTGGGGTTCCCTTGGGTGCATTTTGGGGTTCCCTCAATCCCAGGGTTATCCCAGAACCCCAAAATCCCTGAATTTCCCCCCAAATTTTGGGGTTCAGCGGATCCCAGGGTTGTCCTGACCATCCCAAATCCCCCCAGATGTGTGGGGTCACTCTGGGATGGATTTTGGGGTTCCCAAATCCCATTTGGGGTTCCCAAATTCCCATTTTTCCACGATGACTTTGTGCAGAACGTGCACAGGGAGCTCTGGGATGGAGTTTGGGGTTCCAGATCCCCCTAAATCCCCATTTTTTCAGGATGGCTTCATGCAGATCCTGCCCACAGGGCTCTGGGATGGATTTTGGGGTTCCCAAATCCCATTTGGGGTTCCCTTGGATCCCAGATTTATCCCAAATCCCCATTTTTCCAGGATGGCTTCATTCGGAACGTGCACAGGGAGCTCTGGGATGGATTTTGGGGTTCCCCTGGATCCTAGAGCCCCCCTAAATCCCCATTTTTTCAGGACGGCTTCATGCAGAAGATGCCCACAGGACTGTGGGATGGATTTTGGGGTTCCAGATTTATCCCAAATCCCTTTTTTCCAGGACAACTTCATGCAGAATGTGCACACAGGGCTCTGGGATGAATTTTGGGGTTCCAGAGCCCCCACAAATCCCATTTTTTCAAGATGGCTTCATGCAGATCCTGCGCACCGGGCTCTGGGATGGATTTGAGTCACCCCAAACACCCCAAAGCCCCATTTCTTGGATGGCTTCATGCACACAACGAGCTCTGGGATGGATTCTGGGGTTCCCAAATCCCATTTGGTGTCCCCAAACCCCTTTTTTTCCCAGGATGGCTTCATGCAGAGTGTGCACAGGGAGCTCTGGCATGGATTTTGGGGTTCCAGAGCCCCCCTAAATCCCCATTGTTTTCCCGGGATGGCTTCGTTCCGAACGTGCACACATCCCATGTGTGGGTGTGGGGTCACTCTGGGATGGATTTTGGGGTTCCAGAGCCATCCCAAACACCCTAAACCCCCATTTTATCAGACAGCTTTGTGCAGAACGTGCACACAGAGCTCTGGGATGGATTTTAGGGTTCCAGAGCCTCCCTAAATCCCCATTTTTTCAGGACAGCTTCATGCAGATCCTGCCCTCAGGACCGTGGGATGGATTTTGGGGTTCCCAAATCCCATTTGTGGTTCCCTTGGATCCCAGATTTATCCCAAATCCCCGTTTTTTCCAGGACGGCTTCGTGCAGAACGTGCACACGGAGCTCTGGGATGGATTTTGGGGTTCCCAGATCCCATTTGGGGTTCCCAAACCCCCGTTTTTTGCAGGACGGCTTCGTGCAGAACGTGCACACGGAGCTCTGGGATGGATTTTGGGGTTCCCAAATCCCATTTGGGGTTCCCTTGGATCCCAGATTTATCCCAAATCCCCATTTTTCCAGGACGGCTTCATGCAGAACGTGCACACGGAGCTCTGGGATGGATTTTGGGGTTCCCAGATCCCATTTGGGGTTCCCAAATCCCCGTTTTTTCCAGGACGGCTTCGTGCAGAACGTGCACACGGAGCTCTGGGATGGATTTTGGGGTTCCCAGATCCCATTTGGGGTTCCCAAACCCCCGTTTTTTGCAGGACGGCTTCGTGCAGAACGTGCCCACGCCGCGGGTGCGCGTGGACCCCGGCGGGCGCTGCGCGGTGATGCTGATCTACGGCACCCGCCTGGTGGTGCTGCCCTTCCGCAGGGACTCGCTGGCCGACGAGCACGAGGGGCTGGTGGGAGAGGGGTGAGAGACCCCCCGGACCCCCCAGGGCCCCCCAAAAGCCAGAGAGCCCCCCCGAACCCCCCGACCCCGCAGGCAGAAGTCGATTTTCCTGCCCAGCCACATCATCGACGTGCGCGAGCTGGACGAGAAACTGCTCAACATCATCGACGTGCAGTTCCTGCACGGCTGCTACGAGCCCACGCTGCTGACCCTCTGTGAGCCCAACCAGACCTGGCCCGGGTCAGTGCGGGGGTTTGGGGGGATTTTGGGGGATCTGGGGGGATTTCAGGAGTCTTGGAGTAAATTTGGGGCAGTTTTGTTAAAGTGTCAGGAGGTTTTGGGGGTCCCAGCCCATGCAGTTCCTGCATGGCTGCTGTGAGCCCACCCTGCTGATCCTCTGTGAGCCCAACCAGAGCTGGCCCGGGTCAGTTCTGGGATTTTTGGGGGGCTTGGAGCAGTTTTGGGGTGATTTCTGGGAGTTTTGGGGTGGTTTGGGTGGTTTTGGGGTGGTCCCAGCCCATGCAGTTCCTGCATGGCCACTGTGAGCCCACCCTGCTGATCCTCTCAGAGCCCAACCAGAGCTGGCCCGGGTCAGTCTGGGGGTCCCAGGGGGATTTGGGGCAGCTTTGGGAAGATTTGGGGTGGTTTGGAGGGAATTTGGGGCCGTTTTGGGGGGATTTGGGGCAGTTCTCAGGGGGTTTTGGGGTTCCCAGCCCACGCAGTTCTTACAAGGTTACCATGAGCCCACCCTGCTGATCCTACTGGAGCCCAACCAGAGCTGGGCCGGGTCAGTTTGGGGGTTTGGAGGGGATTTAAAGGGGTTTTGGGGAGATTTCAGGGGATTTTGGGGTGGTTTGGGGGGTTTCGGAGTAGTTTGGGGGCATTTCAGGGGATCCCAGCCCATGCAGTTCCTGCATGGCCACTGTGAGCCCACCCTGCTGATCCTCTGTGAGCCCAACCAGAGCTGGCCCGGGTCACTTTGGGGGTTTGGGGGGATTTTGGGGTGTTTGGAGGAAATTTGAGGGTTTTTTGGGGGGGTTTGGGGGGATTTTGGGGGTCCCAGCCCATGCAGTTCCTGCATGGCCACTGTGAGCCCACCCTGCTGATCCTCTCAGAGCCCAACCAGAGCTGGCCCGGGTCAGTCTGGGGGTCCCCGGGGGATTTTGGGGGGCTTTGGGGTATTTTGAGGGGATTTCAGGGAGTTTTGGGTTGGTTTGAGGGGTTTTGGAGGGGATTTTGGGGTTCCCAGCCCATGCCGTTCTTACAAGGTTACCATGAGCCCACCCTGCTGATCCTACTGGAGCCCAACCAGAGCTGGCCCGGGTCAGTTTGGGGGTTTGGAGGGGATTTTGGTGTTGCCTTCTGAAGCAAGGCAGGCGACCTGGTTCAGACGAACAGCACGGCAGCCCTCTCACCAGGGCCACTCGGGCCAATGACACACGCAGACATCAATGTGATGGACGGTCAAAAGGCGTTTATTGTCTCATCTCTTGGGTTTTTATAGTCTAAGGGGTCTCTACGTCAGCATGGGTCTGTCTTTACCATCTATGGTTAGTAAGAGGTGGACTGTTACTGGGTAGGGGATGGAAAGTTACTGGAATTTGGTTAGGAGGGTTACATTCCTATGTTAGTTTCTTATCTATGGGAAGCAGATGGTCTTATCTGAGGGGATCTGAGGGTCCTGGCTTTCCGTGACATCGCGAGATCTTCCGCAGCGCCTTTCCCTGTCTACCACATTTTGGGGAGATTTGGGGTGTTTTGGATGGATTTCAAGGGGGTTATAAGGGGATTTCAGGAGGTTTTGGGGTTGCTTGAGGAGGTGTTGGGGGATTTCAGGGGGTTTTGGGGGTCCCAGCCCATGCAGTTCCTGCATGGCCACTGTGAGCCCACCCTGCTGATCCTCTGTGAGCCCAACCAGAGCTGGCCCGGGTCAGTCTGGGGTTTTGGGGGGATTTTGAGGGTTTTGGGGGCGTTTCAGGGGTGTTGGGGCAGTTTTGGGGTGGTTTCAGGGGTGTTTGGGTGGGGTTTTGGGGGGATTTCAGGAGGTTTTGGGGGTCCCAGCCCCATCAATTCCCCATGGACTCCCCAGTCCCACCCTGTTCATCCTCTGTGAGCCCCACCAGGGCTGGCCCGGGTCAGTTTTGGGCCATTTGGGGGAATTCGGGGCATTTTGGGGAAATTCGGGGTTCGGGGGATTTGGGGGTCCCGGGAGGCTCTGGAAGGCCGCAGTGCAGGGGGACAGTGCCCATTTTGGGGTGACAGTGACACTGGGGACACAGGGACAGGGGCCAGGTTGGGCTGACGGGGCTGAGGGGTCACAGAGGTGACCCCTGGTGACATTGGGGTGTCCCCAAAGGGGTGACAGGGCTGAGGGGTCAGGGGTCAGGCTGTGACCCCTGGTGACATTGGGGTGTCCCCAAAGGGGTGACAGGGCTGAGGGGTCAGGGGTCAGGCTGTGACCCCTGGTGACATTGGGGTGTCCCCAAAGGGGTGACAGGGCTGAGGGGTCAGGGGTCAGGCTGTGACCCCTGGTGACATTGGGGTGTCCCCAAAGGGGTGACAGGGCTGAGGGGTCAGGCTGTCACCCAGGGGGACATTGGGGTGTCCCCACAGGAGGGTGGCAGTGCGGCAGGACACTGTGACACCCCCAGGGGACGGAGCTGTCCCCACAGGAGGGTGGAAGTGCGGCAGGACACTGTGACACCCCCAGGGGATGGAGCTGTCCCCACAGGAGGGTGGCAGTGCGGCAGGACACTGTGACACCCCCAGGGGACGGAGCTGTCCCCACAGGAGGGTGGAAGTGCGGCAGGACACTGTGACACCCCCAGGGGATGGAGCTGTCCCCACAGGAGGGTGGCAGTGCGGCAGGACACTGTGACACCCCCAGGGGACGGAGCTGTCCCCACAGGAGGGTGGCAGTGCGGCAGGACACTGTGACACCCCCAGGGGACGGAGCTGTCCCCACATGAGGGTGGCAGTGCGGCAGGACACGTGCAGCATCGTGGCCATCTCGCTGAACATCCTGCAGCGCGTGCAGCCGGTGATCTGCTCCCTGAGCTCGCTGCCCTTCGACTGCACCCAGGCACTGCCCGGGCCCAAACCCATTGGTCAGTGACGGTGACAGTGACAGGGACAGTGACAGGGACACAGTGACAGTGACACAGTGACAGTGACACAGTGACACAGTGACAGTGACACAGTGACACAGTGACAGGGACAGTGAAAGTGACACAGTGACAGTGATCTGGTCCCTGAGCTCGCTGCCCTTCGACTGCACCCAGGCACTGCCCGGGCCCAAACCCATTGGTCAGTGACGGTGACAGTGACAGGGACAGTGACAGGGACACAGTGACAGTGACACAGTGACAGTGACACAGTGACACAGTGACAGTGACACAGTGACACAGTGACAGGGACAGTGACAGTGACACAGTGACAGTGATCTGGTCCCTGAGCTCGCTGCCCTTCGACTGCACCCAGGCACTGCCTGGGCCCAAACCCATTGGTCAGTGACGGTGACAGTGACAGGGACAGTGACAGGGACACAGTGACAGTGACACAGTGACAGTGACACAGTGACACAGTGACAGTGACACAGTGACACAGTGACAGGGACAGTGACAGTGACACAGTGACAGTGATCTGGTCCCTGAGCTCGCTGCCCTTCGACTGCACCCAGGCACTGCCCGGGCCCAAACCCATTGGTCAGTGACGGTGACAGTGACAGGGACAGTGACAGGGACACAGTGACAGTGACACAGTGACAGTGACACAGTGACACAGTGACACAGTGACAGGGACAGTGACAGTGACACAGTGACAGTGATCTGGTCCCTGAGCTCGCTGCCCTTCGACTGCACCCAGGCACTGCCCGGGCCCAAACCCATTGGTCAGTGACGGTGACAGTGACAGGGACAGTGACAGGGACACAGTGACAGTGACACAGTGACAGTGACACAGTGACACAGTGACAGTGACACAGTGACACAGTGACAGGGACAGTGAAAGTGACACAGTGACAGTGATCTGGTCCCTGAGCTCGCTGCCCTTCGACTGCACCCAGGCACTGCCCGGGCCCAAACCCATTGGTCAGTGACGGTGACAGTGACAGGGACAGTGACAGGGACACAGTGACAGTGACACAGTGACAGTGACACAGTGACACAGTGACAGTGACACAGTGACACAGTGACAGGGACAGTGACAGTGACACAGTGACAGTGATCTGGTCCCTGAGCTCGCTGCCCTTCGACTGCACCCAGGCACTGCCCGGGCCCAAACCCATTGGTCAGTGACGGTGACAGTGACAGGGACAGTGACAGGGACACAGTGACAGTGACACAGTGACAGTGACACAGTGACACAGTGACAGTGACACAGTGACACAGTGACAGGGACAGTGACAGTGACACAGTGACAGTGATCTGGTCCCTGAGCTCGCTGCCCTTCGACTGCACCCAGGCACTGCCCAGGCCCAAACCCATTGGTCAGTGACGGTGACAGTGACAGGGACAGTGACAGGGACACAGTGACAGTGACACAGTGACAGTGACACAGTGACACAGTGACAGTGACACAGTGACACAGTGACAGGGACAGTGACAGTGACACAGTGACAGTGATCTGGTCCCTGAGCTCGCTGCCCTTCGACTGCACCCAGGCACTGCCCGGGCCCAAACCCATTGGTCAGTGACGGTGACAGTGACAGGGACAGTGACAGGGAAACAGTGACAGTGACACAGTGACAGTGACACAGTGACACAGTGACAGTGACACAGTGACACAGTGACAGGGACAGTGACAGTGACACAGTGACAGTGATCTGGTCCCTGAGCTCGCTGCCCTTCGACTGCACCCAGGCACTGCCCGGGCCCAAACCCATTGGTCAGTGACGGTGACAGTGACAGGGACAGTGACAGGGACACAGTGACAGTGACACAGTGACAGTGACACAGTGACACAGTGACAGTGACACAGTGACACAGTGACAGGGACAGTGACAGTGACACAGTGACAGTGATCTGGTCCCTGAGCTCGCTGCCCTTCGACTGCACCCAGGCACTGCCCGGGCCCAAACCCATTGGTCAGTGACGGTGACAGTGACAGGGACAGTGACAGGGACACAGTGACAGTGACACAGTGACAGTGACACAGTGACACAGTGACAGTGACACAGTGACACAGTGACAGGGACAGTGACAGTGACACAGTGACAGTGATCTGGTCCCTGAGCTCGCTGCCCTTCGACTGCACCCAGGCACTGCCCGGGCCCAAACCCATTGGTCAGTGACGGTGACAGTGACAGGGACAGTGACAGGGACACAGTGACAGTGACACAGTGACAGTGACACAGTGACACAGTGACAGTGACACAGTGACACAGTGACAGGGACAGTGACAGTGACACAGTGACAGTGATCTGGTCCCTGAGCTCGCTGCCCTTCGACTGCACCCAGGCACTGCCCGGGCCCAAACCCATTGGTCAGTGACGGTGACAGTGACAGGGACAGTGACAGGGACACAGTGACAGTGACACAGTGACAGTGACACAGTGACACAGTGACAGTGACACAGTGACACAGTGACAGGGACAGTGACAGTGACACAGTGACAGTGATCTGGTCCCTGAGCTCGCTGCCCTTCGACTGCACCCAGGCACTGCCCGGGCCCAAACCCATTGGTCAGTGACGGTGACAGTGACAGGGACAGTGACAGGGACACAGTGACAGTGACACAGTGACAGTGACACAGTGACACAGTGACAGTGACACAGTGACACAGTGACAGGGACAGTGACAGTGACACAGTGACAGTGATCTGGTCCCTGAGCTCGCTGCCCTTCGACTGCACCCAGGCACTGCCCGGGCCCAAACCCATTGGTCAGTGACGGTGACAGTGACAGGGACAGTGACAGGGACACAGTGACAGTGACACAGTGACAGTGACACAGTGACACAGTGACAGTGACACAGTGACACAGTGACAGGGACAGTGACAGTGACACAGTGACAGTGATCTGGTCCCTGAGCTCGCTGCCCTTCGACTGCACCCAGGCACTGCCCGGGCCCAAACCCATTGGTCAGTGACGGTGACAGTGACAGGGACAGTGACAGGGACACAGTGACAGTGACACAGTGACAGTGACACAGTGACACAGTGACAGTGACACAGTGACACAGTGACAGGGACAGTGACAGTGACACAGTGACAGTGATCTGGTCCCTGAGCTCGCTGCCCTTCGACTGCACCCAGGCACTGCCCGGGCCCAAACCCATTGGTCAGTGACGGTGACAGTGACAGGGACAGTGACAGGGACACAGTGACAGTGACACAGTGACAGTGACACAGTGACACAGTGACAGTGACACAGTGACACAGTGACAGGGACAGTGACAGTGACACAGTGACAGTGATCTGGTCCCTGAGCTCGCTGCCCTTCGACTGCACCCAGGCACTGCCCGGGCCCAAACCCATCGGTCAGTGATGGTGACAGCGACAAGGACAGTGACAGGGACACAGTGACAGTGACACAGTGACACAGTGACAGTGACAGTGACAGTGACACAGTGACAGTGACACAGTGACACAGTGACAGGGACAGTGACAGTGACACAGTGACAGTGATCTGGTCCCTGAGCTCGCTGCCCTTCGACTGCACCCAGGCACTGCCCGGGCCCAAACCCATTGGTCAGTGACGGTGACAGTGACAGGGACAGTGACAGGGACACAGTGACAGTGACACAGTGACAGTGACACAGTGACACAGTGACAGTGACACAGTGACACAGTGACAGGGACAGTGACAGTGACACAGTGACAGTGATCTGGTCCCTGAGCTCGCTGCCCTTCGACTGCACCCAGGCACTGCCCGGGCCCAAACCCATTGGTCAGTGACGGTGACAGTGACAAGGACAGTGACAGGGACACAGTGACAGTGACACAGTGACAGTGACACAGTGACACAGTGACAGTGACACAGTGACACAGTGACAGGGACAGTGACAGTGACACAGTGACAGTGATCTGGTCCCTGAGCTCGCTGCCCTTCGACTGCACCCAGGCACTGCCCGGGCCCAAACCCATTGGTCAGTGACGGTGACAGTGACAGGGACAGTGACAGGGACACAGTGACACAGTGACACAGTGACAGTGACACAATGACACAGTGACAGGGACAGTGACAGTGACACAGTGACAGTGATCTGGTCCCTGAGCTCGCTGCCCTTCGACTGCACCCAGGCACTGCCCGTGCCCAAACCCATTGGTCAGTGACGGTGACAGTGACAGGGACAGTGACAGTGACACAGTGACACTGACACAGTGACACAGTGACAGTGACAGTGACAGTGACACAGTGACAGTGACACAGTGACACAGTGACAGGGACAGTGACAGTGACACAGTGACAGTGATCTGGTCCCTGAGCTCGCTGCCCTTCGACTGCACCCAGGCACTGCCCGGGCCCAAACCCATTGGTCAGTGACGGTGACAGTGACAGGGACAGTGACAGGGACACAGTGACAGTGACACAGTGACACAGTGACAGTGGCACAGTGACACAGTGACAGGGACAGTGACAGTGACACAGTGACAGTGATCTGGTACCTGAGCTCGCTGCCCTTCGACTGCACCCAGGCACTGCCCGGGCCCAAACCCATTGGTCAGTGACGGTGACAGTGACAGGGACAGTGACAGGGACACAGTGACAGTGACACAGTGACAGTGACACAGTGACACAGTGACAGTGACACAGTGACACAGTGACAGGGACAGTGACAGTGACACAGTGACAGTGATCTGGTACCTGAGCTCGCTGCCCTTCGACTGCACCCAGGCACTGCCCGGGCCCAAACCCATTGGTCAGTGACGGTGACAGTGACAGGGACAGTGACAGGGACACAGTGACAGTGACACAGTGACAGTGACACAGTGACACAGTGACAGTGACACAGTGACACAGTGACAGGGACAGTGACAGTGACACAGTGACAGTGATCTGGTCCCTGAGCTCGCTGCCCTTCGACTGCACCCAGGCACTGCCCGGGCCCAAACCCATTGGTCAGTGACGGTGACAGTGACAGGGACAGTGACAGGGACACAGTG